AGTTTACCAAATTTATTTTTCTATTTAGCCTACAGTGAATTAATTTAACAGTGGCTGCATTGGCTCCTAATAATTTCTGTCACAGTTCATAGTGGAAAACCGTCTGTTCACTTAAAACTGGGATTACTGAAGAATTGCTCAGTCGCCTATCAGTTACCATTGTTTATGCCAAACTTGAACTAGCAACCTCTCTGGGAACTAGACTAATATTCTCTTTGAATCCTCTGAGCTACTTCTTCCCTCTCTTGTATTCTTCGCACTAATACTTTATTTCAGCTGTTAAATGTTGAACTCTGCAGTCCATAAGAGACACGATAAGTGCTGGAAGAATTTCTCTGAGAGCACTCAGTCTATGGGCAATAGTGAATTCCAGTGTGAAAGCATTAAGGCAAAATAATTTCATCACCTGTGAACCTGACTTTGCATTTAAGCTGTTGTAATGCTACCTAGTCCATCCCCTGATGTTAGCTGGTTGCCAGTAGTGGAGACCCAAGCGAGAGCGGCCGTGGAGCCAGAATTTGCCGCTGTGTCTGACAGCATCATCACTGCTCGCCAACCAACAAGAAGTTGGTGCCCCAGTGGTGCTGCAGCAACAGCTCCAATAAAGGTCTCCAGGCAGAGCTTGGGGTTGCTGCTTTTGCTACAGCGTATTTACTTGGAGCATGTCGAGTGCTCTGAAGGGGCTGGTGTGCTGTGGTTTAGGAACCCGAATGCCATCACAGGAAAAAAATCCAGCTCTATGGAGGTTCCTTTTTTTGGCAAAAATCCTGATTGCTGCCAATAATTACTTTGCCTCCTCTTGCTGCTTTGCTTTCTAAATGGTTTTCTGTCTAGTAACTTCATGCAGGGCTTTTCTGCTGCCACGTAAGTTCTTGAGGTGATGTGCACTGACAAGACAGAAGCGGAGAGATGCTGTTTTCATCTTTGGCACTGTCTCATGGCGTGGCACTGAGAAAATCCTGGCCCCTTTCCTGTTTTTTTTTTGCCTTGTTGCAGTTGGAATAAAAGCTGCCTCTTAGGAGTCCTGCTGTGATCAGTTTAAATGTTTGTGGCATCTTGACAGTCTAAAGGTGGTCTTTGTAAGTAGCAGTATTTCAGGGTGGCTGCTTTTCCTTGATTTTTCTTGGAAATAAGCAATGTTTTTTCTAGCCTACTTGTTGATAATTTTAGAATTCCTCACATATCCACCTGCTTGGAAAGATATTTTAGGAAAACACAGAACAGCATGATAAAATTTCCTGTCTGACATTGTTGAAACAAGCATTAAGTCTCTGGCCAGTGTAATGAATGAAAATGGCTTTCTTCAAGGCGCAGCAGCTGTGTTTGTTGAAGAATGCAGGAATTAAGAATCAAACAAATCTGAAGCACTGTGAGCTGGGTATAAAAGGAAAACTGGACCTCATCCAAAAGCGTGTGACAGCAGAGTAATTTTTTCTTTCTGTATCTTTCAACAGCTTGTGTTTATATTAATGTTTATCTGTAGAACAAAGATGACTCCATACTGATGGTGGTGCATACGGAAAGGAATATATGATAAAGTACATAGCAAAATACAGGCAGGAGGAAGTGCACTGTATACATAGTAGATGTGTATGCATATCTACTAGCCTTCTGCCAGGTGGATATTTTGAAATGGTTGAAAACGAGTGAGGTTAAACAGTGCTTTTCTCACTCTCTTGCCTTTTCCAGAAGGTGTCACTGTTCTGTTGGTGCACAGGGGCTCAAAGGTTGGACTTGGAGGAAGGCTTGGATTTTTCTTGGTCTGCTTGGCAGTCTTTTATTAGCGTGCATTTTAATAAGGAATTGTATTTGAAACAACTCTCACCTTTCCCTTTCTGCCAGTCTCTGAAATTCATGCCTCAGTAAATGATACCATAACTGTTCAGTTACTGATAAGCTGTCCCAAGGCCAGATAAGGCAAATTTCGTGCTTAGAGTGTGGTATTGGGTGATGTTATTTCTGTGTGGTTTATCCCCATTTTGGCTGGTAACTTGCTGTGTAACCACTGAATGACATCTTTGTAGCGGGTGAGAATCTTAACATTAATGTTGTTCCTGAGAGAACGCATTTCCTTGAAGCAGATATAGAAGTACCAAGTATTAAGTATTGCTTTATTTCAGTTGATACTATAGCTTGTGCATAGATCCCATAGCCTAACTAGCCGGTCTCTTTACTGCAGATCTCTCTAAAGTGAAGCTGATGAGGTTTGATGATCCTGTGCTTGGGCCACGCCGTGTTCCAGTCCTTGGCAAAGAAGAAGCAGAGAAAACACCTATTCTGGACCAAGCCATCTTCCACATTGACCTGGATGAGAAACGCGTTCGCGTTACTGAGAATGGCCTGACAAGGGACATTGGTGACACAATTGTTTATCTAGTTCATTAAACTGGCGTGTACCTGGCTTGATCCCTGGCAGTGAGAAAGTTCATAGAGTGACTTTGAAAGCATCTGTAATGAACCAAGATGAGAATTTGTTCTATAAAAAAAAAAAAAGCCCACCCAAACCAACCTAGTCTTGCATGCAGGTTCACCCCTACTCTTTTAAATGTGGATATAATAAAATTATTTTCCTCTGGCCCTTTGACTTTTCTTGAAAAGAAACAGTTATCCAGAATCTTAACGTGCCAAATCTTCCTTTTCAGCTGTGGCCAGTGTTTTCAGAAGCAAACTAGAGTACCACGCTCAGAATTCCGCTCTCTCTTAAATAGGCCAGGGTCTGGGTAGGGAAGTTGGTTGTAAATCTCCAGTAATAGAGGGGAAAAAGTTGCTTGTACACTTCTGTATTTTATTTCTCAATAACCCAGGTGACTGAACACCATTAGGGCACTCTTACACAGGCTAATTCAATGTAATTCAGAAGTAATTCGATGCTGAAGAACTCTTAGGCAAGAGTGAAATATTAAAGTTTCTGTGCTTCTGAGCTCCTATAATGGGAGCGCCTGTAGCCAATACTGTTAGACTGACTTTTCCTTTCTTACTCTTCCATAAAACTGTTCATAAATCTATTTTAAGTAGAAAGGCTAAGTGTTCTTTTCATGATTTTAAATTGTGATGTTTTTTGTAACTTCAGGTCTATTGCAGGCTGCTTTTTCCCTTTTTTGAGTTATGAATCATCACATACAGCTTCAGGACTTCCGTCTGCAAATTCATGAAGGTGGCTGGTGACAAACAGCATACTTTGTTCTGCACCGTTGCTCTTGGGCAGCTTCACAATTCTTGATGCTCCATATGGCTTAACATTTGAACTTTCTCTAATAATGTGTTGCTGTCTGGGAGGAAAGAGCAGTGCAAGAGCCCAGGACTGCCATGCTGAGAGTGCCGAGTGCTGTTTCTTGCCCCTCCCTTTACTGTCCCTTTGAAAAGGCAGGGTTTGTGGTTGTACAGACGCAATATGAGCTTCTCTTTGCTCTTCCTTCTCCCCAGGCCCGCTAAGTAAATACTCACACAGTTCTCTAAAAAAGCTTGTCAAGAGAAAAAAGGTGATTTTCATAGTCTAAGGCGGTTCCTGGGCGCTGGGGGGATTGGCAAGTGGAAGGGTTGAGGTGAAATAGTCCTGCTGCTGCGGCTTGGGAGAAAAACTTTGCCAGCCCTAACCCTGATGGGCCTTTTAAGTCACTGGACTACCAGCGGGCAAGAGGAACGTCTGTGGTGGGCAGAGGTGTCTGCTTGTTGGTTCAGGTGAGCTCGTCCCTCCGTGCCCTGGACTGGTGGGCGGCTGGTGGTGCCTTCTCAGTGCAGGCTCTGGGAGAGGAGAGCCATGGCTGTGGCACGGCCACGCTGGTCACATCCCTTCATCGCTGCAGCTGGGACTTGGTTCTTTGCTTAAAGGTTTACTTTTGTGTGTAGGCTGAGATTTGAATTCCTTTCCAAACTGGAAAAATAAACCCCAGTACACACATCCAGAGCCATTTCTCATATGCGGCTGTTCTCCTTAGGTGTTTGGAGCTTGTTTTCAGAGTGTGATGATGAGATGCCTGTGCTAGTGCTGCTCTGGAACATGCCTTTGAGAACTCCATTTTTGTCTTCAGTTTGTGGCTGTTTCACACCCAGATACCATCTCTGGATTTCTTGCTCTGTACCAGTTGCTTTCCAGTGCAAAGGGTTGAAAGCGAGAGAGGTCCCCTCCTTCCTCCAGTGCTGGGACCCCTTTCCCTCCAGCCAGCCAGGCTGCCCAGCACCTTCCCAACAGCAGTGTGGCCTGGGGGACAACGAGGTGTTTCAGCAAATAGGCCAGGGTCTGGGTAGGGAAGTTGGTTGTAAATCTCCAGTAATAGAGGGGAAAAAGTTGCTTGTACACTTCTGTATTTTATTTCTCAATAACCCAGGTGACTGAACACCATTAGGGCACTCTTACACAGGCTAATTCAATGTAATTCAGAAGTAATTCGATGCTGAAGAACTCTTAGGCAAGAGTGAAATATTAAAGTTTCTGTGCTTCTGAGCTCCTATAATGGGAGCGCCTGTAGCCAATACTGTTAGACTGACTTTTCCTTTCTTACTCTTCCATAAAACTGTTCATAAATCTATTTTAAGTAGAAAGGCTAAGTGTTCTTTTCATGATTTTAAATTGTGATGTTTTTTGTAACTTCAGGTCTATTGCAGGCTGCTTTTTCCCTTTTTTGAGTTATGAATCATCACATACAGCTTCAGGACTTCCGTCTGCAAATTCATGAAGGTGGCTGGTGACAAACAGCATACTTTGTTCTGCACCGTTGCTCTTGGGCAGCTTCACAATTCTTGATGCTCCATATGGCTTAACATTTGAACTTTCTCTAATAATGTGTTGCTGTCTGGGAGGAAAGAGCAGTGCAAGAGCCCAGGACTGCCATGCTGAGAGTGCCGAGTGCTGTTTCTTGCCCCTCCCTTTACTGTCCCTTTGAAAAGGCAGGGTTTGTGGTTGTACAGACGCAATATGAGCTTCTCTTTGCTCTTCCTTCTCCCCAGGCCCGCTAAGTAAATACTCACACAGTTCTCTAAAAAAGCTTGTCAAGAGAAAAAAGGTGATTTTCATAGTCTAAGGCGGTTCCTGGGCGCTGGGGGGATTGGCAAGTGGAAGGGTTGAGGTGAAATAGTCCTGCTGCTGCGGCTTGGGAGAAAAACTTTGCCAGCCCTAACCCTGATGGGCCTTTTAAGTCACTGGACTACCAGCGGGCAAGAGGAACGTCTGTGGTGGGCAGAGGTGTCTGCTTGTTGGTTCAGGTGAGCTCGTCCCTCCGTGCCCTGGACTGGTGGGCGGCTGGTGGTGCCTTCTCAGTGCAGGCTCTGGGAGAGGAGAGCCATGGCTGTGGCACGGCCACGCTGGTCACATCCCTTCATCGCTGCAGCTGGGACTTGGTTCTTTGCTTAAAGGTTTACTTTTGTGTGTAGGCTGAGATTTGAATTCCTTTCCAAACTGGAAAAATAAACCCCAGTACACACATCCAGAGCCATTTCTCATATGCGGCTGTTCTCCTTAGGTGTTTGGAGCTTGTTTTCAGAGTGTGATGATGAGATGCCTGTGCTAGTGCTGCTCTGGAACATGCCTTTGAGAACTCCATTTTTGTCTTCAGTTTGTGGCTGTTTCACACCCAGATACCATCTCTGGATTTCTTGCTCTGTAACAGTTGCTTTCCAGTGCAAAGGGTTGAAAGCGAGAGAGGTCCCCTCCTTCCTCCAGTGCTGGGACCCCTTTCCCTCCAGCCAGCCAGGCTGCCCAGCACCTTCCCAACAGCAGTGTGGCCTGGGGGACAACGAGGTGTTTCAGCGTTGCCATCACAGAGCCTCCTGAGCATCTGTCATCGCAGGAACGGGAGCCTGATGCGAACTCTGCGCCCGCTGGAGGAGGACTTGCAGCCACCGGGGCAGAAAGCTTAAATATCCTCCGTGATGGGAGACTTTCGTACCCAACTCTGCTGTGGGTAAGCGCGTAAGCTCTCTGGCAGCGTGACGCAGCGTGGGGAGAGGGGTTTAAAACGCTCTGACCAAGATTCCAAGTGATGAGGGGTCCGTGTGCTCACATGGGGTCTCAAATATTGCTCTTTGGCTGTCTCCTTTCGAGCAAATTTGGCTTGAAGGCTGCAAGCAGAAGTCTCTCACGGAAGACAAAAAAAAGGATTTGGGGTTTCTGAACAGGCTGAGGTGGGTTCAAGATTTGCTCTGTTGTCTCTGGATGAGAAGGCTGAACCTGGATACGTGATCGCAGAGGCAATGTGTTGTGGACCTGGCACCCTCGTACTGCCCTTTGTAACTTGTCAGTGGATGTTCTTCCCAGTACGTGCATTTTGGTCACCAGTGCTCCCCAAAGAGCGGCTGAGGATCGGGTGAAGTGAGTTGATCAGAAAGGTTTCCTTAATTTCCTTGTACAAAAGCAGCTTTATTAATCCCAAGAAGCAGGGATTATGGCAATAAAAATCTGATACGTTGACAAAGCAACAGCCAGATAATCTGCGCAGGTACAATTTAGTCCAGAGTTTTAGAACAATAATTATTGCTTCCTTACTCTTTCATAGTCTATAGGGTTTTTTCCCTTTTGCAGCTGGCCAGAGAGCAAAGACTTTCCCATAGATGTTTGGGAGAGCTGGTTCATAAAGTGGGGGTGTGTGCGTGCAGTTTGGGGTTGGTTTTTTTCTGCCGTGAGGGGCAAGTTAACCAACGATGGCATTTCCTATAGGCTCAGTGTTCGAGTGAATCAGCCAAATGAGTTATTAATGAGCAAGAAGACAGAGCTAAAAAGCTGGATTTTTTTCTGTGATGGTTTGTTGGCTTCCAGGAGGTGTCACTGCTGTGCTGGTTCTTGTGCCTATTTTCCCAATGAAAGCTCATAACAGGATAAAGAGGCTGTCTTGGTATTAGATTTCCCACACTATTAACAAAATTCTGGCCTTACTAAGTAGTCTTCATGTTACGATTTTGTTTAGAGAAATCTGGAAAAGGAACTCTTTTTGACTGAGCCAGTTTTTGATGTATATAAATGCACAGCCAGGAGGAACAGGGTTGTTACTGTCATTTCCCAGCTCTTCCAGTTGCCTGCTGTAGCACCATGGGATATTTCCTTGGGTTTGAGCCCTTCAGTTTTCCACTGTTCAGGAGAACGCAGGGCTGCTTCTCTCTGCAACGTTGCGAGGCATAAGTAATGTTTCATACAGAAGGAGGTTAAAGTACTTGGGAAAGTTCAGAGGAAGAGCACGTGCCACCAGCTGCACGGCCTGATGCCACGCCGAGCTGGACGGAGCCTGGCACTGCACAGCGATGCCAGCGGTGGGAAAGTCAGCTCAGGACAGAAAGCAGGCTTCTCCTCTCTGCAGGTGTTTTCCGGAGTGGAAGGAGCACATCTCCATGACGCTGCTCTGCTGCCCGTCTCCGCACACCCAAGAGAAGCGGTAGGCTTGGATCAAGTTGTCTCCTATGCACACCCAGCCGGGAGTCATTCACATCACGGAGGCGGCGATGGGTGCCCAAGGCACCATCAAAACCTGTTCCTTCCATGTGCCTGTTCTGCAGGTACTTGATAAATTTGTCTCATTTAAAACCCAAACGCACAGCCCCTAGTGAGTTAAACCTCCCCTGGCACTAGCCAAGTGCTGGGCCTGCTTTTTGCCCGCTGGAGGGGTTTGGCTTTGGGGCGTTTTAGCACGGAAAGCGCTGTAGGAGGAACGTGCTCTTGGCTGCCTTGCAGATGTGCTTCACTTCTTGTCCAGTGGATTTGGCTCTGTCCTTCAAACCCGATTCAATGGAACGCTTTGAGATCCTCCTGCTGCCTGGGGGGTGTGAGGAGTGGTCGTGGCAGTTGGGAACTGGTATGACATCTGGGAACTGGTATGACATCAGGGCCTGGAGTGTGGTGATGTCATCTGCTCCATGCGCTGGGGCTGCTCCTGGTGCTGAGGCATCTGTTTCCATGATGGGCTGGAAGTCATTGCTCTGCTGATAGGATGAAGGTCCTGTCCCCACTTATTCTTTCCCGGGTAACGCCTTGGCATGGGACTTCTTTTCTTTCTGGTCTCAAGTAAGGAGTAAAGTTAGGAGTCCCCATCCTTCATTAACATTATAAATAATCTGATGTGTGCATATATATATATATATAAATCTATACAGAAACCATATAGCTGATGAGAAATGAAAGCTCAGTGTTGCATATTACACTGTGAAATATCTCTCTGCAGTGAGACTTGGGTAGGGCTCCTCTTCCTCGGGAATTGAGTTCAAAGCAGTTTATTAATCCCTCCAGGCTTTGCTGGCAGAAGAGAGAATTATTGACTCTGTGGCACCAGCAAAGTATCCAGAATCTATATTTTGTTTAAAGCAGAAACTGTTATTCTTCAGCAGTGCCTTATTGTGTCAGGAGGATTGTGTGACCTTTGGTGAATTATTTTCCGCTGAAGTGGGGAGCAGCAGAAATCATCATGCACGAGCTGGAGATGCACGTGAGCTGCCGAGCCGGGGAGAGCTGCCCAAGCTACTGGTGCCGTTGGTTTAGAATGGCCTCTCTTAATGTTTGTACCCTACTTTTGAGGATCACCGTTCGTATCAATCGGTTCTTGAACTGCTTGTGTGGCAGCGGTAAACCTTGGTGCTGTTGCGGAGCTGGGCTGCTGGCTCCGTCTGATTCGTGTGAAGGGGCTGGAGGTGCCCTCAGGCTCCTCCCCCCCCCATGTGGCCCCCGCTGTCCCCTGGTCCCATACGGGGACAGTGCACTGGGCTGCTGGGGCTTGGGAGCTCAGTGAGAGAGTGGCACCTGACCAAAACTTTCCACCCTGGAAAAATCAGTATCGGCCCTTGAAGCCCCTTGCGGTCCAATCCTGACTGGATCCTTACCAGAAGGACTAGAGAGCCAGAGAGCTGATAGCAGCACAGCTTTTAGCATCTGAGAGGTAATTTGCGGTGATGCAGCCATGAGATGCTGAAGTCCTTATGGGTATCATACTTTGCTCTGTGGAAGCACTCTTGCCTCGCTGTAAGCGTGGAGGGTGGTGGAGATGGGTGTGGAGCTCGGCGGCAAGGAGATGTGCGAGCAAGCGAGCCCTTGAAAGGGAGCTGGTATAGAATAAAGCAAAACAGTGGCACTAATCCCATGAATAGTCTTTCCTCCCCCACAAGGTCACTCTAAATATGTAGTGTGCGTGTGATTAAAAATAGACAGATCTTTTAATTTTGTGTGTTCTTGCTCCTTTCTCTAATGCATAGCAGAGCACGACAGGAGACTGCGAGGAGCCAGCCAGCGTGGCTGTCACCGCTGCCGCCGGGACTTGACCACCGGCCTCTTTGATGTCTGCTGCAAGAAGGCAATTTGTAGGAGTTTGTGTGGCTTCTTGTTACTCTCTCCATGACTTGGTAGTTCCTGCAGCAAAGAAACACCGAGATAACAGCAAGCTCAAACATGCTCCTGTTGCCTGTCCCACCCGTGGTGCCCCGTCACCAACAGCTGCCCAGGGTGAGCCAGGAGGGGCTGGGCAGCGACCGCCGCAGCCTCCCTGCAAACCATCAGCGGTGGCCCCATCTTTTGGGGGTCTGCGATGCTCCCCCACTGCCCTTGCCCACAGGCAGGGCTCTGGCAGCGAAGCACAGCTGCCTGCAACGCGGGTGCCCTGGCCGGGTACCCAAGCACCGCTAAAAGCTTCAAGGAGGTAAATCTGCGTTTTATCTGTGGCATAAAGGGGATTCAGTTGTTGCTCCTCTGATCTCTAAGCAGTGGCTGTTAGAGTAATTTCTGATCCATTAAGCAGAAATATGTGTCTAATAGGAATAGTTTTTATTTCTTTTGATGTTTTATTTCTTCAGTAGCGGATTGGGTTTTTGCATCCTCTTCTTCTCTTTATTTGGGCGAGGGTCACGTTACTTTCCTCCAGGTTTCTTTTATGTCTTCCATAATGTGTGAGGAGGAGAAAATCATCACTGCTAATTTGCATTAAGGATGTGAGTTAGATTCAAAGGCGCAGAGCATTCAGCAGTGCTTTCTGAAAACAGTTCTTTGGGTTTTGCTCTGACACCACTCTAAAAGTTGGCCTGCTTGTTTGATGGAGGGAGGTTTATAATGCTCCTTCGCTAAATACGTGGGAGCTGGGGTTTGCAGATGTCTGCTGGACCTGAAACAACCCGGGGGACACAGCGGCCAGGGCTGGAGCATCCGCAGGGAGCCCAGCGGCACTGGGGCCCTGCCCTGGGCAGCAGTTCCTGCCTTGCACCTTTCCCCGCTCCGGGGTCTCAGGCAGAGAAGGCAAACCCAGGCTTTTGATCAGTTTTTCCAGTTGATGCTTTTCTTTGGTTTCTGGTTTGGCTGGATCAATTGGGTCATGAGAAAATTGGCACTTGCAGCGTGACTTAAAACTGGAGGCACAGCTCTGACCTCCAAACCTCTGTTCTCTACAGCCTGACGTAGCCTTCTTGTAGAGCCTAAAGTGCTTTCCTTCAGTGGATTTTGCTTCTCTTGCTGTGCCAGCTGCTCCCCCAGGTACAAATCCAGGCGTTCTCCTCATCACGGAGAAGTGGGAAGGCTGAGGCCCTCTCATTTCTAAGCTTTTAGCATTTTTAAAGAACTTGCTTAAATACTGCAGGGGTTTCATATTAGGAAAAACTTCTTTACTGAAAGGGTTGTCAGGCTCTGGAATGGGCTGCCCAGGGAGGTGGTAGAGTCCCCATCCTTGGAGGTATTTAAAAGAAGGTTAGATGAGGTGCTTAGGGACATGGTTTAGTGGTGGGATGGCAGGGTTAGGTTAAAGGTTGGACTCGATGATCTTAAAGGTCTTTTCCAACCAAAGCGATTCTATGATTCTATGATTCTATGATTCATAAACGGGGACTTACCAATGAGTTTAGCAGGACAGGAAGCATTGCATTGTTGTAATCGTGTACTGTTTAACATACTGTTACGGTGTTACAAAACAGATTTAAATGATGTGGTTGCACAGCAATGGTCCAAGAGCATCGGCTCTGCCGGAGATGGTGTGTGTGTGCTGGATGTATTTACTCCTGAACTGCAGACAAAAGGCAACGCAAATGAATTGCAAGAGACTGCGAAGGCAGAGCACTATTGAATTTACTTCAGGCAACAGCAGTGAGAAAGCTAAATGCGGGGGTGGGAGTCCGCGCTGCCCTCCTGGGTGCTCCGATGGTAACGCTGTTCGTACTTGTTTCTCCTTTGGTTCTGCTGGAACGGCGTTTCACAGACTTTGAGGTCTGCCTTCAGCGCTGTTGGGGGTACAGCTGGCAAAGGGTTTTCCTTCTCCCACTGAACAGCACCCATTCACCCAGCAGAGGAGATGACACCTGGCCCTCACGTGTGGGGGGACTCAGTCCAGTGCTGGAGATGGCATCTGCCATGAATACGGGGACATTGCTGAAATCGAAGCAAGGTTTTGAAATAGAGCAGTTAGAGGAAAAGAGGGATGTTTTCTGGTGTAAACCTGTTGGGGATTGGAGAAGTTCAGCTGAGATTTTTCTTGTCTAGCAGCCTTCAGAATTTTAGGACATGCAACTGTGTGGATTTACTACCCAAATGCACTTGCCCCGCTGTAGGACCTGGGCCATGCTGCTCAGCCCAGCCTGGGGTGGTGGGTGCCGGGGGTGCAGCCTGGCCTGGTGCTGCGGGCTGAGCCAGGGAGCGGTGCCAGACACGGGTGGCCTCTGCGTGGGGAGAGCTTTTCCCTCGCGGGGGGCTTTTGCTTGGGGCCCCCATCGCCAGCAGCTGCCCCCTTCCCAGAGATGCTGCTATGGCTTGGTGCCCACAGCCAGGATCGACGTCCCAGAGCGCAGCGCTTAATAGTGATCTTGTTAAAATGATGTAAATGTGAAAAGTTCATGTGGGGCTCAGTCCCAGAGAAGATGGATCCCGCCCCCTGCCCCCCCGCTGTTTGCACCCGTGTGGGCAGGATCCTGCAGCCAAATTCCTTTTTCGATCTGAAAATCCCTTCTGTTACCTTGATGCATTTTTAAAGCAGAGCTAATGCATTAAATCCAAGGAATTGCCCTGTCTCCCGTGCGGCAGCAAAAGCAGCATTTGTTTTATAATGGAATGGCAACTCCAAGCAACTTCTCATGTTTTTAAAGTACTTTGTAAGAGCAGGATCGTGTGTGTCTGTGCAGCTGCTCTAGAATTGCATCGCCTAGAGCTGATGCTGTACAGCATACGCTGCTGTGTAACCGGGGTAGCAGGGAACAAGGAGCCCTTTCAAGCCAAGGGGGAGATGCAGCCAAGGGCTTGCACCCGCTGGGCATCCTCACGTCCTGCTTTTAGTGAAATCTGTGCATGTCCAGCACCCCTCAAAACCTGTCTTCCCTGTGTTGAAGGTGTACTGGGCGGAGGATTCCAGGTCATGGGCTGAAATGAGCTACCCAGCACCTGAGCGCAGGGTAATTCACTGGGTCTGGGTCTGGCCCATGAGTTTGCTCTTGCTGTGGCGTGATCTTGGCAGGGCATGTGGGATGCAGTGGAGAAGCTGGTCCTTGGTGGTCCTCTAAGCCCTGCTTGCTCTTCCAGGGGACCCTTGGTGGAGACCGGGCAGCACTCCCGGCTGCTGGCCGCCTGCTGCTAGTCAAGTGGCCCGAGACCTGGGGCGGGGGGCTACCACCCAACCCCGCGGGAATGCCGCTGCTCAGCTGAGGGTGTCCTGGTTAAACAACCTCCTAGCCAGGGAGCCTGAGTCATGGTTCTCTCTATCCATCCAGTCCTTCTCCCTCACCACCCACCATGCAAAGTGCCTTATTTTTAAAAATAAAAATCATGAGGATTTTACAGCAGCCTCTCTCTTGGCTGCTTCTCATCCCCTTCGGTATGTTAAACCTGGATATAACACCCAATAACCCTGGTATGTTAAACCTGGATATAACGCCAAATAACCCATTCCTCCTGCCAGATCATCGTTATCACAGCGGTTTCCTGTACAGTGGCTTTGAGAATGTGAACCTAAATTGCCATCCTCACCTGGGACTTACGATCTGAAAACTTAGTGCAGATTTGTTTGCTGTTCTTGGGAGAGCAGCA